TCAAAGCAAACAACGATACGGTTATCACCAGTCTCCGGACACTTAGAGAAAGAAACGACACTGACACGTTCTTCCAATATACATCCCGAGGCTCGGGGGCCCAATTCGTTAGCCACAATGTGGGATTCTTGCTTTGTTGCGTTTGAGCACTAACAGCAGCCGCCCATCTTGAATTGAACGATACAAATGCAGCTGGAGTGACAAAGTTTGAGTCTTTAAGAATCTTCTCGCGCTTGATTGTCAACTGGGACAATGGAAACACAGAATATATGCGTAAAATTTATATGGAGTGGATAAAACGAAAAGGGCAAAAAACTATTTCTTTGATTGATCACTAATAATATATGAATCAAAAGAAACTAGCAGTCAAAACTTACTCTTTTGTCCATCTCTCTAATTTGATGTTTATAGTAGTCAATGGAATCAACTTTTTCACCGCAAAGTCCAAGAAAGCCTGTCTGAGGATTAGAGGAACATTATTGCATTAGACAACAGATTTCGTCAACATGAGCAGAACATGCTGATCATATAATTTTTATTGCAAACCTTTGTGGTTGGTCTCTTGTCGGGATTTCTTTCAAACTTTATCTGGTAGTAATCCAGCCAATTCTGAAGGTTGTTTCGTTTTCTAACAAGTTTGGCAAACTTGTTTGCATTATAGACGGCCTAAATAAAGGTAAACGCAGTAACTTGGATCAAAGTAAGCTTATATATGCAAGAAACAGCATTACAAGGAGTATATGAAAACCTATACAGATGACTACAAGTCTACAAACAGACCAAGTCAAGAAAATAATAAAAACAAGTAGTAGTATGATACCTGGTGGCAAAGATAGTGATCTGGGTGATTCTTCTTAAAAAAGTTTTCCACCCGATCTGATATTGAGCGGCCAGATTCATGTGGTATATTTCTGACAAGAACCTGAGAGACATCATAAGAAAAGATTACTCGAAGAAAGAGTACACATCAAACAGAATAAAGGAGAGCTTTTTCAACAAGATTCATAAACAGCCTATAATATATCATAAATGAATTAATTCCACTTTTTGACATGATCATCAGAAGATTCAGAACTTTCAATTTAGACACATATAGCCATCTACTTGAAAAATGGCTCGCTTTAGTCCATCAAATATAGTGACATCCCCTATCATACCACTATACTCGAATGGGCAAAAGGTGGAATTTTGTGTACTACTGACTCTGTTACAATGCAATATCTGTTCATAACTACTTTCTCAACCTACTGAAGCACAAAGAGTCAATATCGCCCTCACTGAGGCTCAACCGTATGGGAGAGTCACTTCATGCCACTAGACCACAAGGTCATTGGCACTATACTTGAGTGGCCAAAAGTGAAATTAGTGAATCTGGGTAGAAAAATTCAATCTTGTCAACCAACATTTGCATTCCCTCTCGCAAAGCAACAATCAATTGATTTTTACTCACTGTGAATTGTTCAGCCCGCTTGCCCTGTGAAGCCAAAAATTTGAATCTCATTGACGCCACTCTACCGTATTCTTTGTACAGCATATAACATGTCCAAAATGTGAACAAATACTCCATTGCTATGTGCACAAAAAACCTGAATCAACCATAGAAGCTCTCTTTTTAATGCCAGACCCAACTAAACATATAGAACTCACAAGAAGCACAAAAGATTTAAAAAGTAAAGGAGAAAACTCTCAATAAAAGTAATGATATATGCACAACATGTGCAATTCACAGCTCGCACACTATCCCAATATAAGGCTTATTTTATTCCCTTCCATGTTGCTAAAGTTCAACTTTTTTCAACTTGGGGACATCACTTTCGAATTGGTTGTGGAGGTTTTACTTTTTCATCAACATTCATACTTATTCCTTATGTTAAAATTACGTGTTATTAACAAGTGGCATTTACTACAAAATCCCAAACTCTATTACATAGCAATATAAAATTCAGAGGAAATAAAATCAAACGGAGCATAATGTAGATAAATCAAGCTATGAACAGGAAACAACTCGAACAAGCTTACTTCAAAGATTTGGGGCTGATATTGGATATGGACAACTTGTCAATGTCGCTAACAACCAGGTCCTTGCGGAGGAAAAATAATGTTCCACCTGACATATTGACTGGGATAAGAACCAATAGAGCTGCAATAGCAGTCGGTCCAAATATTTTTAAACTGTCAAAGAAATACGAAACATCAGCTTGGCCTGAAAAGGCCATCATTTGGGAATTCCAAAAACACACACAAAACCTTGCAGGGAAACAGAACCTTGAAAGATTTAATCTTTGGTATGCAAACTGAATATATGCAAAATGCAGCAACCAATAAACAAGTAGGAGATGCAACTTAAGAGAAAACTACTCCATGGATCAAATTTTAAGCACAAGAAAGCACCAATTACACTAAAACAGCAAATATCAGAGGATGAAAAGATAGGGTATCACTCCAAACAACCAATTATCGCAAACACCCAAATCAAAAAAGAGGAAATTTTGGTATACCCAAGGATATAAATCCTCAAGAAGACAGCAGAGTCAAGCCCAGCATGACTGATAATCTCAGACTCGCTCATCTTCAGAGCCTGGGGCATCCAGTTGAGGAAGGTAAGGTAAGTCTTGAGATTGAGGTTAACAAATTTGGAAACAAAGTTGCGACTTTGCCCGGGGCTAGTCCTCCTTCCAAGAATGTACCACTTGGGAAAGTAAACCCTGTCATTGATGGGCTGAATCCTGAGCAAAGCAAAGGCAAGCAAGAACGCAAAGGCAGTCACTATGTTTATGAACGCTGACACCCCAATATCCCCCAGAGTCGCCATGCCTCAACCCACAACAAACAGAAACACAAAGAACCAAAAAGGTGGTATCTTTCTTAAAGAAATCCAGGCGTATGAACTCAGTAACGCAAATGGAGTTGATTACTGGGGCTTTCAGTTGCCTAATACAGTAATGCCCCCTTCAAGTTTCAAAGATTAAGAGCAGAAGAACGTGGAGAAATTGAAAGGGGATTGTGGGTTGGCTGCATGTGAGTCGGTTCGTGATGAGTCATTTGTTGAGTGCGTTACAGGAGAACTTTTCTGTATATTTTGGAGATTTGAACTTTTCTGTATATTTTGGAGATTTTGACTTTTGAGTTGCCACCGGAAAGGTGGTCACCGAGCAGGGGCGGCGGAGAGAGGAGGCGTGGCAATGATAATGACAAAATCGCTAATTAATCGCCGTAATTCCGGGCCTATATTTGGGATGGAATCAAACCAACTTTCTGTAATACTGAGTATATTTTTGGTATTCTATTTAGTTCTAGAAATAAAATCACGTTTTTAGTTCATCAACTACTCTAGAGTTGTTTTAAATTTAATTTTTTTCCTTTTTCGTTTTATTTTGTTTGACCAAAAGTATTCTCAATTAAATACTAAGACCCCACATAATTAAATTAATCGTATTCATATTGGGGAGTTGTTATATCATGGAATATGATTCACCCTATAAGGTGAATTTTGGTCCTAACTGACGTATAAATTGTGTATATATTTTTAATATGGATTAATATTTGATGCACTGTCGGTGTATAGATGTTATACAACAGCGGTGAATGAGGAGGTAACACATCATTAAAAAATAAAATTAATATTAACCGGGTCTATTTTACAAAATATCTAAAATTTGTATTTTTTTAGGAAATTCTTTTATTTCTAATTAACAAAATATATCTACTTTCCTAAACATATTTATTACTTAATTATTATATATGTCTAATTGTCTAATTATTAATAATGATATTAATATCCAACCGCTGAAACTAATATACAAATAAATTCCTATTCTTGATTCTATCGAAATTTAAAAATAAATTTATTTTTGGACACTAAAATTAAAGAATTCTAAATTAAGAATTATAATTGATATGTAAAAATAAATTTCTTAATTATTATATTTATAATTATGGATTTTAAGCACAAAGAATCAACAATGTTTTCACTGAGGCTTGATCTCATAACCTCTTACATGAGAAAGGTCATTACATGTCATCTAAGGATAAAGTGCTTGGCGCATTTTGTAAGAATACTTTTCTTTTGAAGGTATTTTGTAAGAATACATATTCATCAAAATCCAAATTTTCTCTGTCAGAAAAATCCAACCAGTCAATCTTTTATCTCTGTCAGAATCTTTATTAGTATTCCATTAGTAAAGAGTTTTTTTCGATAAGTTGTTTTTTGTATCTATTTTTATTGTTGAAATTCTCTTGTAAGCTATTGATTTTTATTATTATTATTTTTTGTAATTTGTAAACTCTAAAAAATTATAGTTTTGATATAAAGTGAAAAGGTTGAGTTTATAACTTGATTTATGCGTTTTGGGTCTTAAATTTTAAGAGCATAATATGTATAATTTTGTTAGTGGCTAAGAATGATGATCGAACATTGTAATGACTATATTTTTAATCTCTCATATGATTTCTCTTTTTACTATTTTGGTACTCGGTGACAATAGTCTTTAACTTGAAATATACCAACATTCAAAAAAAAAACTTGAAATATACCACTATCCATGGGTTTACTTGTGTTATAAACCCTGTATATATTTCTTTATAGATTAATAATGGCTACTTGCCATGATAAAGACTATAATATAGTCGAAATTGAAGAAGATCATGGTTGTGAAATTACTACAGAATTGAGTGAAAATAATCATGATGAATTGGTGAATAATGGTGAATTCAATATAGGTGAAATTGAACAAAAAATTAGTGTGAATGCAAAAGAGTGATGTGAATAAGAGTTAATTCCAACATTGGTCCTCCGACTATCGTGATTTTTCACAATTCGTCATTGACTTTTAATTTGGACAATTTAGACACTTGGCTATCAAAATGTTTCCAATGGTGGTCCTTCTGTCCAAGGCTAGTTAATTAAACGTTAAAATTGGGGCTAAAATAGTCTTTTAACGGGCTCTAGGTATAATACATTGTACTTCTTCACCATATACACGATTAAAATCAAAATACTCCTTTTTCTGTTAATTAACCCGTAGCCATGGCTGACATCGTCGTTCTCCTCCACCATGAAAATCTATACCTGTAATTCAATAGTTGATTCAAAGGAAGACTGTGATGATGCTAAGAAGAGGTTTGCGGACATTGACATCGCTGAGAGGGTGCTTGAGTTTCGTTTCCACGCCGCCGATTTACCGTAGTTTCTCCACGAAGTCGCCGTCGACATCTCCACCGCCGTCCAATGCCGTGGCCATGTCTTCCAGCGCCGCTACCATCTTGACCGAAGAGGATCTTCTGATCGACGACGACGACGCCGCGGTTTCCAAGACTGATACGATTCCGACTCTGCTTCAACACGGCGTCGTCGTTTATGATGGCGTTTGCCATCTCTGTCACAAAGGTACACACACAATCATATATGTTTGGATACTAAAATTTCTCGCTCTTATCTATCGAAATTTTTGTATTCTGTAATGTATGAATCATGAATGTAGGGAGAAGTGTTGTAGCCAACTGAATTTGTATTTTGTTGGTGTGATAGATAAGTAATTTCTTGTCATGATCTGCTGATGCCTGGTGCTACTATTTGTTATGTTTATATTGAAATACATTTTAAGAGTCTTAACTTTGTTGCTCACTTGATTTCCTTTGATCAAGCGTGCTTGGCAAACTGGAAACTGATTTATGTTTTGAGTACCACCATAATTTGTACTTATTTCTTAGAAAATTTTATGTGGAAATTTAAAGATGCTTTGAGAAGTAGTTTGTAAATACAATGCATTTCATTGGTAGCTCCCTCTTAGCGATGTCAATTTCTGTAAACCTCTTTTCAGCATCATCACAGTCTTCCTTTGAGTCAACTATTGAACTACAGGTACATATTTTTATGGATGGAGGAGAACGACATCGCCATGGCAAAGAGTTAACAGAAAAAGGGTATATGGAGAAGATGGACGATGTATTATATGCAGGGCCAGTTAAAAGACTATTTTAGCCCTCATTTTAACGTCTACTTAACCAATCTTGGACGGAAGGACCAACATTGGAAACATTTTGATAGTCAAGTGTCTAAATTGTTCAAATTAAAAGTCAATGATCAATTGTGGAAAATCATGAAAGTTGGAGGACCCATGCTGGAATTAACTCTGTGAATAATGACACAATAAAGTTATGTGTTGGAATGGAGTTTCAATCACTAGATGATGCTTTAATGTGCTATACTAATTATGCAAAACATGAAGGTTTTGAAATTCGCAAAAACCGCATAGTAGTAAAGTCTAGAAAGAATCAAATGATTATTGGATAAGAGTTTGTTTGTTCAAAGCAAGGTTACCGTGCAAAAAAATATTTAGAGCGAGACAACAGGACAAAAACTCCATCTGATGAAACACGCATGGGATGCAAAGCCATGATTTATGTATCTAGAAAAGACGAAGACAAATGGATAATATCTAAATTTACTAAAGATAGATCATAGTCATGTGCTTGTTTCTCCTAGTAGTGCTCGATTTCATCAAGTTCATAGAAAGAGGATAAAATCTCAAAGGAATTTGATCGACGTGCTTGATGAATCTGGAATTCGCCCTAGTAAAATAATGTCAGTTTTGGTTACTGAATCTGGAGGAATAGATAGTGTCGGTTGTAAAGAACGAGATGATATTAAAAATTATTTAAGTAACAAAAGGAAAAAGCAACTTGAGAAAGGAGATGCACAAGCAATGTTGAATTATTTTAAGGAGTGTCAATCTAAAAATTCAGTATTTTGTTATGCAATACAAATGGATACAGAAGGTCAACTAGCGAGTTATTTTTGGGTTGATTCTAGGTGTAGAGTGGCTTATAAATTTTTTGGAGATGTTATGACTTTTGACCCAACTTATTTGACAAATAGGTATAAAATACCATTTGTTCTTTTCGCTGGAGTCAATCACCATTACCAGTCCATTTTATTTGGTTGTGCTCTGTTATGACTTATGAGATGAGACAGCAGAATCATTTGTTTTGGTATTGAATACTTGGTTAGGAGCAATGGATGGATGCCATCCAAAAACAATAATTACATATCAAGATGCAACTATAACTACTGCAATTTAGAATTCTTTTAACAAGTTTCAACAGTTGGATATTAATATCATTATTAATAATTAGATAATTAGACATATATAATAATTAAGTAATAAATATGTGTAGGAAAGTAGATATATTTTGTTAATTAGAAATAAAAGAGTTTTCTAAAAAAATACAAGTCTTAGATATTTTTCAAAAAAAAAAAAAAAAAAAAGACCCGGTTAATATTGATTTTATTTTTTAATGATGTGTCACCTCCTCATTCAACACTGGTGTATAGCATCTATACACCGACAGTGCATCAAATATTAATCCTTTTAATATTGGAATTATAAACTTCTAGAATATAAATTGTCACATAACAATTATAGAAGGGAATTTGAGAACACAAATAAGGTCATCAAATCCTAATTTGCTAATATTGTGTGACTACAATATTTGAAAGGAACTTGTGAATACAAAATAACGTAATCAATTACATATATGTTAACAATATATGTTCGTGCTACATATATGTGTGCAAATCCTATATTCCATGTTCGCACCAAACATGTGCAGATTGATTATCACTTTGTTCGAGACAGAGTCACTATTGGTGATATACAAGTCAATTTTATTTCTTCCAAAGATCAGCTTGAAGATATATTTACTAAAGCTCTCAATGGTCCTCGTTTTTCATTTCTTAAAGACAAGCTACATGTTATTAATCTACACTGTGCTTGAGGGGGAATATTATGACTCTATGTATTATAGTCATATTGGGTATATATCCCAGTCTTGTTGTAATTCTTGTATTGTATTTATTCAGTTGTATTCTGTGACTCTATTGATTAATCCAGATTTACAATTTTCATTCATAGCTTATGTAGGCCGGATAAGTGTGTGTGTGTGTGTGTATATATATATATATATATATATATATATATATATATATATATATGTGTGTGTGTGTGTGTGTGTGTGTGTGTGTGTGTGTGTGTGTGTGAACATGATTCAAATTTTAGAAAATTATACTAGAACAAAAGAAAGGAGGAAAAATTTCAAAACGTGTGTTACACACACTCTCTTTAAAACCGAGAAAATGATATTTCGGGAGGGAAGAGTGAAAGGAAAAAAATAAAAGTTTTTTCCGCAGGTTGCTAGTACACATGTTACACAAGAAAGAGCCTCTAAGCTATACAATTCAAATTCTCTTCAAAATGGTATTATATATATATATTGGTACAAATCCACTTCCCAAACCAATCTGGACAAAAGCTTCTCCCAAACATTATTTCCACCTTCATTTCCCAATTCAAATGAGTCTACTTTGAAAATCAATTTCTTATTTACCAATTATCCGTATTGAATGTACAATATATCTTTCTCTTCGTCTCAGTATGAAGGATTTTAATCAACTTTAACCCGATACATATTTGAAATGGATCTACATATATTTATACCACAAAATAACCACTTAAATGACAATTTTTTGCTAAAATGTGCAACAAGATCGAGGTTTTGATTATAAAAATAAAATAAAATTGTTCTAAGGTAGATTCACCTAGAATTACCATTCATTAACAACAATTTATGCAAAAAAAAAAAAAAAAAAAAAAAAAAAAAAAAAAAAACTAAGAATGATTATTGGTATTACAAGAATTGTCACACTTTTTGCTCTCAACTTGGCATGTGATTCCCTTGACCTTTTGGTGAGACATGTTATTCCCTTAACCTTTTGGTGCTAGCCAATTGATTCCCCACCACCCATGTTGGGACTGATGATGAGAAACTTCAATTCAAGATTATTAGTTCACTAGAGTGGGAGGCTTTTAGGATGGTTGTTACGTTGTGGTAGAGTTATTATACTTACAAATATGGCCAAATATACTGTCAACAAGTAATATAATGATAAATTGATTGAATGCTAGTATAATTAAAATTATTAATATTAATTATCTGAACTTGATTCCTTAGTTGAATGGAATGATATCTTAAGCTCAATTTTACCACAGCGAGTTGTCAAAATATCATATAAACAATACAAAAAATAGTGCAACTACAATAGTTTAGGTCTATGATGGTACAAATTTTTGAAAAATACATTTTCATACTTTCAAAAATGTAAGTTTTCTAGTGCAGTTTACCTAGTGCATACATTTTTGGTCAAAATGTCCCTAAACAGAACATATACTTCTTTATTCTTCAGCGATTGTTGTGCGCACTTCTCTTGTTGGGATGCATATTCTGTCTTGATTGGGTGATTTTTTCTACTTAGACTAATTCAACCTAAAGGGACGAGTAACATTTATGTTCAGGTTCCTTGCACCCGTCTTTATTCTCTTTGGTCAATCTCTTTTCTAAAAAAGGACTTGAGCGTTTTACGTATTAAACGGATAAAAAAATCATAAAAAAAAAGAGAAAATATTGCCGTAAAAAATCTATAGATAATTAATTAATATAAAGAGTTGTATTACACATCACAAAAAAAAAAAAAAAATTGTTTACAATAATCATTTTCCTTTTGAAAACATTTGTTTTAGCATACTACACTAGTATCTTGGGTTGAAACTAGTCCAACTTACTCTAGCCTCATCCGACAAAAAAAAAAAAATTACTCCATACATTATTCTCAAACTTAACCCCTATGACCAACTGAGTTGTTCATACGAACAAAATTACTCCACATTTAATTACATATCTACACAACTCAATTCATTAAAAAATGTCTTATTTGAAAAACAAGTTAATTCAATTTTTTGTCTTCAATTTATAGGTGGTTGTCCATTTTTAATATTTCTTTTTTTGAGAATAGCCTCCTTTAGTCTTAGTATTATTATTGTATAACTATTTTTTGTTTTCCGTCAACAAAATCGTTGAAATGTCGGTAAATACAAGGATATTTTGATTTTTTTTATACAAAGTGAGCCGACTCGTTATATTTTTATTTAAAAAAATCATAATTAAAGACTTATGGGTCGTTTACTTCATTTCTATATTTTTCCATTTATCTATTCCTCCAATTTTCCTTCTCCATTTCTGCACTTTTCCATTTCTCCAGTTTTCTAATTTTCATTCTCTATTCTTCCAGTTTTTCATTTCTCTAATAATAATAATAATAATAATAATAATAATAATAATAATAATTTCAATACACCAATAAAAACCTTACACTAAATAAATTACAAATGATTACAAAATAAAATACGCAATAATAACATGTATAAAAATACAAAAGTGATTTTTTAAAGCAATAAGTGTACATTTTTATGAAAATAAATATTATTATTTGTAGAGGTATAAGAAATCTATATTCGAATTTTGTAATTGCATCTAACAAATTAAAACAAAAGTGAAGAAACCAGAAACCATTTGCAATAATAATAATAATAATAATAATAATAATAATAATAATAATAATAATAATAATAATAAGAAAGAAATGAAAAAAGAGGAAGACGTAGGGGAAAAAAAAAGAAGAAAGAAAGGAGGGAAAAACAGGAAACAGACAAAGCCACACGCAAAATCGATCTTAAGACCTCACGCACTATTCGCCTGAATTATTGTTCATCCATGTCTATTCCTCTATTTGGAGAAAGCTTATTATCAAATCTCCAAATTTATATAAGAAGTGAAATAATGGAGATAGAGATTAAATTTAAAAGAAGAAATTTAGTAAAAGAATAAGGATCAAATAGGCCACTGCACACGAGAATGTAATTAGACCACTGAACTTAAAAAATCTACAATTGGGTCTCTAAACTAACCAATTTCATTCAATTTGTTCATTTTACAAGTTTCTCAAGTTGCTAACAAGTTACCCCTCCACCTAGGATGCATATGTGTAATTTTTTTAAAAAAATAATTTATTTTTAAATTAGTTTTTTAATATTTAATAAATAAAAATTAAAATAGTTTATTTTTAAATTAGTTTTTTTAATGTTTAATAAATAAAAATTAAAATAATTTTTTTTTGAAAATA